GTTTGAGGAAAGTAACAGATGACATGAAAACTCATAAGAACCCCAGTTTGCGTAAAGGACCAGCTCCTTACAAAACTGCTACTGCTCCTCAACCATTCAAGCCAGTTGGGGGCACCAAGAATGTGGTAGCTCCAAAAACCCCAGTCTTGGAACTTCAAGACAAAAAATGGGTTGTTGTAAGTCTTTTTATTTATAAACTTTCATCTTTTCTTCTTTTTTCTTTTTTTTTCTTCTTTTTTTTTCTTTTTTCCTTTTTTCTTTCTTTTTTTTCTTCATTTTTCTTTTTCTTTTTTCTTTTTTTTTTCCATAAAATATTTAAATTATAAAACAACTGCATTGAAATAATAATTATCTGTTGGTGGATTTAATTTTTACTTTATCAAGATTAGAATTTGTAAACTATTGATTGTTGCAAAGGACTCAAGTTTTTTTGCAGTATTGTTTTAAGAAAAGCTGTCAGATTTTAAGATATCTTATTTGAAACCATTTTGAAAATTTTGAATTATTATATCTACCGGTGTGTCTGCATTAACCCTCATCAAAGGTTTAGCAAATGATTATGATTACACAGAAATTTTCTTATTTTCACTCCTGGATAGTAAGGTCAGAATATATTCATTTGGTCTCTAGATTTGCTAAGAAAAGGAAGAATAAAAATCAATTGAATAGCTGAGTGGGTGGAGATGGTATTGACCAGCCTGACTTTGAATCATAGAGAATTCTTTCTTCTAGCATTCCAGGAATCACAAGGCTAAAAAATCTTGGATTTCAAAGTAAGAATTTGAGAAAAAACCATTTGCAACATATGTCCTTAAGAATATGAACAAGTGCTACTATTCCCCCATTGTTGGTAATTTAATGATTAATATATTAGGTGTGTAGAAAAATTGTTCATGTTTTTTACTAGAGAATGAATAAACATTTAAAAATAGTTTTTTTGATGAAAACTTTTGTGTATACATAACACTTTTGAAGGTATTTATCAATCTTTCTATTATGGTGTATGAATTTTTAAAAAAGTTTACTCTACTTATTAAATACAGATCTATTGATGAATTTATTATGGGTCTAAAAAAATACGTTTTTACAGCAAAATTTGAAGTATATTTGTTACCACAATTTGTATTTATTCATGGCCAATTTCATGGGGTTTTTTTTCACACTAAAGATACTTGATACAAAAAAAAAAAGATAAATAAGAAAAAAAAACAGAAAAAACGTTTTTTCTTTTTTCTGTAAACAGGTTTTTCTTTTTTATTTTCATTTTTTTCTTTTTCTTTCCTTTTTTCTTTAAAAAAAACAAACTTTTTTGAAAACAATCTTTTCCTATATTAACCATTTTCCTATAAACAATATTTTCTTTTTGCTATAAACGCAAATTTTCTACAGACAATATTTTTTATGAATTTCTTCAAAATTAATGTTTAATTCCCTCTGTTCTATCAATTTCTTTTGATTCATAAATATCAATTTAAAAAGTAATCACTATCCATTTTTCAAAATGATTATCATCATCATTATTATTATTAAATGCATTTATTTCCAAATTACAAAGATGATATTTCTCTGCAATTTCTTTTTTAGGAGCATCACCATGGCAACCATAACATCTCCATTACAGAAACGAACATCAAGCATACAGTTTATATTTATAACTGTCGTGAGTGCACCATCCAAGTCACTGGCAAAATTAATTCAATTGTTGTTGGTAAGAATGTTTATTTCTTTAAGCAATTTGCCCTTTATTCTCTCTCAATAACAATGGCTTAAACTTTCCAATAACAAATAACAGTATTTAAATTTAAAATTACATTTACAGGAAATCTGTGCAGAATTGCACTCCTTTCTTGCACTCTCTTAATTTCTATACTGATGAGGATTTTTATGTCTTCCATTTATAATTCCTATGTAGTCACTCACGAGCGGGATAGCAAATGGTTATGGCAACCATTTATCTACCTTCTAGACACATGCTTTAGATTATAATTAACAGTACAGGTTGAGTATCCTTTATTTGAAATTCCAAAATCCGAAAGTTTTTCAGGTGCTGATATGACTTGCCACAGATAGAAAGTTTCAGAATGCACTGTGAAGGTTCCTAGGTAATGTGCAGCTGTTGTAAGTGCCCTCATTCTGCACTGGGTGCCAGTTCCCCAACCCAGCTACCTAGCCTACATTGGTGTGTATTTTTTGTTAACAATTGTCACAACACCTTCGTTCATGGATTACTTACCAGATGTTTCATGCTCACTAAAGATATTTATATAGTTTTTGTAAGTAGTTTTTTTTTTTTTTACATGTACAGAGAAAGTAAAAAACATTATTTTTACATCAAATCTTAATTTCACCACTTAAAAATTCATGTGAGCATTACATGACTGATATATTTACCTGTATCTGTATGTACACAAAATTTATTAAATTTTATATAAAACTACTTTCAAGTTTTATGTTATATAAAACTACCTTCAGGTATATATGCTGTGTTATGAAATTTAAAGGGATATTGTGTTTATGCTTGGGTTCCATTCCAAGTTGCCACCTTTTATAGATGCTATATACAAATTAAATAACCTCTATTCCAAAATAATCTGAAAATTGAAGCACTTCCTGTCCCAAGAATCTCAGATAAAGGATTCCACACCTGTATTTAACAAGAAGCACCTTCTTCTGTGTCTTTTATTATGGTATGCCAAAAACCAGTCTTAAAATGACTGGCAGTGGAACCTCTCATTGATTGAATTTTATGACTTTCCAAAAAGCCTAACAACTATGAAAATGATTTGCTATCTAATAGATGAATTTTCTATAATAACTTTGTAAACTGAAGATTTTATTTATTCATAAATGTTTTTTTTTCTCTTCCCCTTCTCATAGATGGGTGTAAGAAAACTGGGGTTGTATTTGATGATGTGATTTCTGCTGTCGAGTTTATCAACTGTGAAAGGGTGCAAACACAAGTAAGTTTGTCATCATTTCAAATTCAACATTTTTCATCTTAACTGAAACATTTGATATTTGCTTATGACAATATCTTTTTTTGTGAAACTTGACTTCATTATCAATTTTTTACCAATAGGTAAACATAAAACTGCTTATAAAATAAGAACAAGACAAGTTGAACTATATGTTCCATTGGTGTAAACAAATTCTCATATGTTATGCAAATGTCAAAAATATTTTAAAATTTTGTTTTTAAAGTCCAAAGTTTTAAATTACAGAAAAAAAAACAAAATCTGCAAAGTTGAAAAATCAGAATTCTCTAATATCGTAATAATAATGAAATAAAGTTGTAATAATAATGAAATATTAATTATAAAAACTGTTTCTTGACTATAATGGCACAAATTTTATTACTGAAACCAAATATCTTCTCTTCATCAAAATATTCCAAATCATTTTTCTACCAGAAATAATTAAATTTAATCTTTTGCTCAGTTGATTTTGTTAAAGACAGAAGTGATCCAAAGATACTAAAAATGTTATGTGTGTGCATATATATATATATATATATATATATATAAGGGGTGGTTTGTCTGGTTCAACAGTGACATCTATATGCAGGGGTAAACTCGAAGGTAACTAGATTCCAATGTAAGAATGGCAAAGACATCTGCACTAGGAGCAGAGGAAAAAAAACCATCAAACGGATCTAAGGAAATCTGTACAAACCTATTAAATAATAGCAACAACTAGCAGAATATGACTTATTTTTTTATGGCATGGATAAACCAGTAATGTTGCATCCTGGAATTGTCACTGCCTAAAATGGAAAGAATTAAAGTCAGAATTAGTTTGTTTCATTCCCTAATTCTACTCTCTCTTAGATTAATATACTTGTTGTTTTTTTGTTGTTTTTTTTTTAGGTGACAGGCAAAGTTCCAACAGTGAGTATTGAAAAGACAGATGGTTGCATGGTGTACCTAAGCAGCACTTCCTTGGAAACTGAAATTGTAACAGCAAAATGTTCTGAAATAAATGTTCTTATGCCACAAGAAAATGGAGATTATGTAAGACCATATTTATTTTATTTTTATTTTCTTAGAGAAATGCTATAAGAAATTACCCACGCAAAAATACCCCCCAAACTAATCAATGACTTCATCCATTCCTTTCAATTGGCTTCTGTTTAATTGTTGTCTTTGAACAAATCTATCAGACGTCAGACAGAAATAACAATATTTGGATATTTTTATTGTTATCCATGCATTTAAAGAGTGATATTAGTTTTAGATTTATATTGTTCATTATCTATAACCCGGGGTGGGGGGGAGCTTTTATTTTTTCTTGTTTTTTATTTACAGAATTTTGTGAGTGTCAATAAAAAAAAAAAAAAACACTATAAAAACAATCCATGTATATGTACTAAAATAAAAAAAGATTTTCAATGATATCTGCATATTATTTGGAATGCACCTTTTGAGTCATATAATTGGTACAATTTTGGAAAAGGTGTGAATGATACTCTGACATATCTTGAAAAGGGTGCACTGGGCAAAAAAAAAAAAGGTAGAGAATTACTGATTTGTACATTATAACTCTAGTTTCTACTTGGTGACTAATAAGCTTACAGCACCCCTCCCCCCAAATGTTGCTTTCCAACATCCGCCAAAAAAAAAAAAAAAAAAAAAAAACATAGAAACATACAATGTTTATGACAGTTTACTTTGCTACTGTCAGTCAGTTATGTGCCATGCATAATACACGCTTAGGCGATCATGTATTTTTTGACTGAAGAAGCAGATTTTTTCCCGCAGTAGATTACCATTTCTTTCTGTAGTAGACCAGTTTCCATCCAAGGCTATAGAACCCGGTCTGCCCATAGCTGGAGGGAGAAGATTCCTACCTTTCTGTAAGTGAATGTAATGGATTCAACTGGAATTCGAACTCGGCTCTCCAATTCCTTATTCCTAGCCGCTATCCATTATTCCACCATGTCTGAGTTGAGGGATATTTTCAGTGTCTAAAGATATTTATTATGACCAGTATTTAATCATGTTTCTGTTTAGTTTTTTTTTTATTTTTATTGTTAATTGCAACTTACAAAAATTCTTGAATATTAAGAATATGAATTTTTGTTTTCTTTTTAAGCAATTATTACAAAATTTGAAATATTTTTCTTGTTATTTTTAATATAAAAATGACTTACTGTAATTCCCCATGTATAATACATTTTTTTTCAAAAAAATAAGAAGAAAAATCAAAATCCAAATTGGATATTTTATCAAAGAAAAATTGGAGGATAATTCCAAAGCAACATTTTACCAAACACGCATTTTAACATTTTCATCATTTTTTTTTCTTTTCTTCATTTCTTTTTCATTTCTTCATATTTTTTTCTTTTCTTCATTTTTTCTTTTCTTCATTTTTTTCTTTCATCTTTTTCCTTTTTTCTTTCTCTTTCTCTTTGCCTTTTTTCTTTCTCTTTCTCTTTGCCTTTTTTCTTTCTCTTTCTCTTTGCCTTTTTTCTTTCTCTTTCTCTTTGCCTTTTTTTTTCTCTTTCTCTTTGCCTTTTTTTTTCTTTTCTCTTTCTCTTTTTCTTTTTCTTTCTTTCTCTTTGCCTTCTTTCTTTCTCTTTCTCTTTGCCTTTTTTCTTTCTCTTTCTCTTTGCCTTTTTTCTTTCTCTTTCTCTTTGCCTTTTTTCTTTCTCTTTCTCTTTGCCTTTTTTCTTTCTCTTTCTCTTTGCCTTTTTTCTTTCTCTTTCTCTTTGCCTTTTTTCTTTCTCTTTCTTTTTGCCTTTTTCTTTCTTTCTCTTTCTCTTTGCCTTTTTTCTTTCTCTTTCTCTCTTTGCCTTTTTCTTTCTCTTTTCTTTCTCTTTGCCTTTTTTCTTTCTCTTTGCCTTTTTTCTTTCTCTTTGCCTTTTTTCTTTCTCTTTGCCTTTTTTCTTTCTCTTTGCCTTTTTTCTTTCTCTTTGCCTTTTTTCTTTCTCTTTGCCTTTTTTCTTTCTTTCTCTTTGCCTTTTTTCTTTCTGTTTCTTTGCCTTTTTTCTTTCTGTTTCTTTGCCTTTTTTCTTTCTGTTTCTTTGCCTTTTTTCTTTCTGTTTCTTTGCCTTTTTTCTTTCTCTTTGCCTTTTTTCTTTGTTTCTTTGCCTTTTTTCTTCTTTCTTTCTTTCTGTTTCTTTGCCTTTTTTCTTCTTTTTTCTTTCTTTGCCTTTTTTTTCTTCTTTTTCATTCTTTGCCTTTTTTTCTTCTTTTTTCATTCTTTGCCTTTTTTTCTTCTTTTTTCATTCTTTGCCTTTTTTTCTTTCTTTTCTCTTTGCCTTTTTTTCTTTCTTTTCTCTTTGCCTTTTTTTTCTTTCTTTTCTCTTTGCCTTTTTTTTCTTTCTTTTCTCTTTGCCTTTTTTTTCTTTCTTTTCTCTTTGCCTTTTTTTTCTTTCTTTTCTCTTTGCCTTTTTTTTCTTTCTTTTCTCTTTGCCTTTTTTTTCTTTCTCTTTGCCTTTTTTTTTTCTTTCTCTTTGCCTTTTTTTTTTCTCTTTGCCTTTTTTTTTTTTTGTTTTTTAATATTATTTTTCTAAGTATTATGAAGCCACCCCTCTTTTCATGTTGGATATGATTCTTTTTTTATATACTGTATAAGTGTTTGTTTTTTGGGGGTTTTTTTTTCCTTAATTTTTCCTTCTTTCTTTCAGGTGGAATATTACATCCCTGAACAGTTTAAGTCTACCTGGAATGGTAAATCTATGGTGACAGTATGCAGTGACAACAAGTAGTCTTCCAGCCGTAATACTCAACATAAGAGCTAAAAACAAATCGAGCAAATCCTCTTTCCTTTATTTCTGTAGCAGATGTGCTACTGGCATTGGTATCTGCTTCATTGCACTTAGCAAGAACCTAAAAATCCTAGCGGCTTGTTAGGGTTAACAATTCTAATCTGTATGTTTTTTTTTTCTCCTTTTCTTTTTAAATTGTGATTAAAATTTCTGAAGATGAAAATAATTACAGTAAGCAAAACAATTCTCCCACCCTTTTGTTTTTTTTTTTTCTTCACTCTCCTTACAATCTTTGAGCTACTAAAAAAAAAAATTTAAATCTATATGTATAACAACAACAAGACCAACAACCACAAATTAAGACACTTGTTGCTACTGTCTTCCTAATAGTCATAAACAAAATTGACATCATCTTCTCCCTTTTACCTTTATACACTTTTCTTTTTTTAAATCCGTGTCATAGGGGATTTTCTTACTGAATCAGAACTTGCTTAATTTCTTTATCAACAACTAATGGCGACAAACAATAAATTCATTGACAATTTGATAAAAAAAAAAAAAAATGAATATATTTGTGAAATAAAGAAATCTTGAGTTGTTGCAGCAAAAAAACATGTTGGCTTTTTCCTCCCCAGAAGAATTACCAAAATTGTAGGAATTGTGAATTTCCTGTCAATTTCCATCTACAACTGTTTGGCTTCCTTTTGGTTGAAAAGGCAGACATCGCTTGCTGCAATTCAAGAAAATTTTCTAATTTTTCTTCTTTGAAAAACTGTTTTTTTGTTTTGTTTATTAATTTTAATATTTTCTTTTTAAATATTTATTTCTCTATTGCTAATTTTCTTCTTCTCCCCACAATATAATGTTAATATGGCATAAATGAAACTAAGCTTCCAGAATATATATATATATACACCAATTTGCTAAGTTTGGTCCTCACCAAGTGCACCAATACTATACCTTATGCCAAACTAGGATTTAATTATGAAAGCAGTTGTCACTTAAATATTTACACTGTCAACAAGTTTCACAGTTTTACTATTCCAATATTTTGTCTTGTAAAGCAGGGGGTTGGCAATGTACAGCATGCGTGCCACAGGTGGCACTCACCCCAGGCAATTTCCAATGGCACACAGCTGCAAATGGCATCACAAAGTTCAAAGCAATAACTACTACAATGCAAAGAAGATATTTAGCTGTTTCAACTTTCATATATACTAAAGTATATATATACTATATATTACTATATAAAATGTGTTGTAGGACAGGTACATTGACCTTGACTTGTATAAAAATACATAGGCTTGTTGGCATACTGAATGATTTTAAAACCCTAAGTTGGCACATAGTAAAATGTTGCCAACTCCTGTTGAACATCTTTATTGTACTTGTTTGGGTTGCTTAATTTTCAAAATGTAGACACCTTAAGGTAAATCAATTACTGCATTTCAAGCAAAGTTCAAGATTTTGCTGATCCTGTTTTGAAATTTGTTGGATGATTTTCAAAATTTACTTGATTAATACCATTTTTGATTTAAAATTGATTTTTGGTTGGCAGGGGATTGAATAATGGAATGGTGAAAAATTCTCTGTAACTTCTTCAGATTAATAATGTTTTTATCAATGGAATCTTATTGTATGGAGGGAGAGGACAAAATGTATAACAGGGGTTTTTCTATTTTGTCATTGAATTACCTACTATTAGTCTGATATACTGTTGTATATGATACAATAAGGAACAAATAGTAAACATTTATAAATATAAAATGGTTCACATTTATTTATTTTATAAGTCCCTGTGTCTGAAGTGGTACTGCCATGGTATTTCTTTTTTTTTTTTGAACTTGTGAACAATCATACAAAGTTCATAAGTCCAAAGTAGCAGAGACAGTCGACAACACTTTTAACATTAAAAACACAAAATTCATAATCTTTGCATCACTTTATCTACAAAAGTGAAAATAAATTAGTTATCCTAGTGGTCTTTACTACCGTCTTCAAGACAGAAATATAGTTAGGAAGAAAAATAGATCCAACATCACACTTCAGATACATTATTATTTTTTTTTATTTTTTTTATCATTCCACCCCAACTTTGGCAGAAGTGCCACTAGCACATAAGGAATTACAGAGAGTGAGAGCAAGAGTAAAAAGAATTGTTTGAGGAAAGGATAAAGAGAAGGACAGGGATCACGATCAAGGCATCGGAAGATGTCAATTGACATTACATTTGAATATTTGAAGATTATGGCTATCAGGGAAGTAGGAAGAAAGGAGTTCCCATCTCTGTCCCATAATGATTGTTTCTTTTACGTACACATTTCATAAACTAAATGGAACAATCATTATAGGACAGAAGTAGAATAATATAGAAGAATGGCTACATTATTTACATTATTTGGACTATTGTCCACATCTTTGTCGCCATATTTATCACAACGTTTCAGCCCTTGTACGCTCCAGCCTTCTTCAGGTGGTTGGAATGTTGAACTGAACCCTTTATTTCGCTCACTGGGGTAGACTGTTTTAATTCCACTTGCCATGTTTAATGGATGTCAGTTATCAGTTATCTCCTGTTAATTTCCCTCTGAAAGTTCTCCACTGCCTTAACTGGGTATTGAACTCACACTCTTTGGGTCCTGTCACTAACCAACACCTCTATCCACTGTGCCATGAGTATGAATTTCTGGCTATTATAAACCTAATGTTTCAGCAATCACTGCCAGAGTCGAGGAGGTGGCTACTTTAATAATCAGATTAAACTGAAAGAGGAGAGGTAACTTTTTCTTCTTTTTTTTTTTTTTTTAGCATTTCACCCCAAGCAAGGCGGGAGTGCCACTAGCATGCAAGGGGTTACAGAGACTGAGAGCAAGTGTAAAGTGGGGTGTTTGAGGAAAGGATATAGAGAAGGTCATGGATCAAGATCAAGGCATCTGAAAATATTGATCGACATTACATTTGAATATTTGAAGATTATAATTATCAGGGAAGTAAGTAGGAGGAAGGGAGTTCTGTTGTTGGGAAGTGCAAGAAAAGAAACTGTTGGAGTAGAAAACGCAGTTACATTAAATTTTAAGCATTCCACCCCAAGAGGCAGTTACATTTAACTGTTTTGACAGTGAAAAGGTGGAACCAAGATGCCTAGTAGCCCGCTTAAATTAATGTAATTGGGATGTTAATTGAAAGATGCCAGGATTTATGAAATGAAATGCTTGCAGTGTAGAAGCACTTACATTGGTGAAACATCTTGAAATCTAAAAGGCTACATCTACAAGCATAAAAAGAGACTCCTATGTTGGGTCAGCTCTTTAAAGTCACTCCTAATACCCAGGAACAAAACGTGCCATAACTTTGATTTGATAACTGCCACCATAATTAAAAAAAGAACATAATTCTTTATGCAGGAAATACCTTGAGAATTCGGATAAATATTTTACCATCTATAAAAGCACATCAAAACTACTATATTATTTCATCAACTTTAATAAAATTTATATTTGAGCCTTGAGCAACACTTTACCAGTGGTAGAGAAAAATGATTTAATGCTCAGCCACTAGTTGAACAGTGGGAAAACATTTGTGTTGTGTTTTGCTATTGGTTGTCTTATTTGGGTCGATTGGGACACAAAGAAGAATTCTGGCGATAAAGTGTAGGCATGCAATCATACTATCTCCCTGCTAAGTATAATGCTTAGATTTTTTTTGTAACTATTTTCATATCTATCGTGAAACATTACGTATCAATTATTTGCAAATTTTGACTCAGGAGCTCAGGCAGAATGGATTGTTCCAGAATGCAGGGGTCAAACGGTTAAAGAATCTAAGATATGTCTACCTATTAATGTCCCCCAAATCAACATGTAGATAATCACCAAACATAAATAAAAATGTCTACTACACATGCACACAGACATACACAAACTCTATCACCCAAATCCCATACACACAAACTAGAATTATGATGAACTTACACACAAATTATACACCTGAATGCATATAGTCTTCTTAACCAATGAAAAACAAATGCAAAAATTAAAAATACCAACATTTTATTTCCTTTTTCCCCATATCTCTTTTTCTGATGAATCTTTAATAAAAGTGGAACATATTAGATTTGTAAATGTTTCCTACTTGTTCTTTATCCTATCATTGTCAGATTCCAATCCATATTTGATCCCAAATTATACTAGTATATCCTATTTCCCATACCTCCTGATGAAGGACTGAACAATTACACAAAGGTAGAGGTGCTGAATATAACATCACGATTAGCTGAGTGATAAATTTGATATTTGTATTAATTCTAAAATATATATGTGACCATTCTTCAATTTCAAACAATACTATCACTTGCGCCATCCTAAAATAGGGGCAACACAAATGGGACTTGTTAGCTCCACTATGGTCTTACATTCACCTCTGCAGATGTGATAATGTTGTAGCACTTACATTAATATTTTGATGAACTTTTAAATGTTGTTTTAGTCCACTGAGGCACATTATTTTGTTACACTCTGTGTGTGTGTGTGTGTGTGTATATATATATATATATATATATATATATATATATATATATATATATATATATAATAATTATTTTTTTAAAAATATCTCTCCATCATGACACAGAAATTACTGTTTTGAAAATGAAGCTCAAATCCTAAAATTTAACTTTAAATTTTAAACTTAAAATTTGGAGCTCAGTTCCATTTTCAAGCAATGCTAAGAATAACTTAAAAAAAAAAATTATATTTACTTTATTTTTAGTTAAGTTTGTGGTGTTAAGAGAATTCATTTTTTTATTAAGGGGGTGCTGGATGTAGAAAGCAAGTGTATTTTTGTGTGGCAAATTTAAAGTTGGTTAAGTTTGGGTGGGGATGATTATTTCTGTCTAGCTACAATGACTTTCTTTCAAGCTGTCAATTTATTGTCTGGTTTATTTAATCTTATTTATTATTTTTAAGCCCCTTTTTATTCCTCTTTTAATTTTAAATAT